ACACTTCAAGTTTCCTGACTACTTATCACATGTATAGGCAGCCCTAGAGCACCAGATCCATGAAACCACACACAAAATGACCCCATATTGGAAAACAAACACTCAAGGGTATTTTCTTAAAGGCATAATGGGTCTTTTAAAAATGTAAATTTTTTACACTATTTTTTGGAAAATGCAGGAAAAAAAAATAAAAATGTATTTTTTTACACAAAGTTGCCAAGCAATAAAATATTTCTAACACACATCACAGGCATACTTAGAACTAAACCCAAAAACACATCCTGCTACTCCTAAGTATAGCAATACCATGTGTGAGACGTTTTCACTGTCTGGGCTGATTATATACCTGACTTTGTATCTTGAGTATCACACAAATCAACCAATTGTGTCAAAACCAATGCACCCTAATTGTCAGCTCTTTACGAATGGTCAGGGAATATAGTGTAGCATCACCTAAAGCAGTCCCAGTTTCTATTAACCAAGCGAGCCTAACTCACTGGTACATGGCTGCCCCCAGTAATGTAATGTTCACTGGCCTGGTCTCTCACAGGAATGTGCAGATGGGTTAGTTCAGGCCGCAGGCAGAGACATGGTCAGAAAACAGGCAAAGGATTGGTCCAAGCGGCAGCAACGTGGTCAATAAACAGGCCAGGGTTAGTGCATGCAGCAGGCAAAGGTAACACTGCACTGGTGTGGCGGTGATCAGGGACAATGTAACTGTTGTGGCGGTGATCAGGGACACTGTACCTGTTGTGGTGGTGATCAGGAACACAGTAGTTAGCTGGTGTGGCCATGATTAGGGACAACATAACAAGTGTGACAGTAATATAGCACACTGTGAGCCTTTGTACATTATCACAGCAGCACAGGTACAATGTCACTATAGTGACACTGCACTTGCTCTGAGACAGTATATAAAAAATATTTAAAATATTTAATTGTTTAATTTTTTTATATACTGTCACCAGAGCAGTGCAGTGTCACCATACTGACACTGTACTACTCTTGCGGGGTGATCAGGGATTTTTTTACACTCTAATTGCTTATTACAGTGATGATCCTAATTGTCTACTGCTGTAACTGTGATCACTATGATTGGTCACAATGATTACAGTACCAAGGCCACTCACAGTGGCCCTGTACTGTGATGGGTTATTGGCTGTGTCTGACGGACACAGTGGTAGCAGATAAAGCACTTCTGGGAGGACTCTCAGATACTTTCTACTGGAAAAACAAAGCACCCGCTTGGCCGTTTATGTAAATTGGTTGGACAGGAAGCAGTTAATGTAGTTTAATGTATTTTTTCATGTTACTTTTGGATTTTTGCCTGCTGGTGTTCTTTTTTATCTGGTTGATTCTGCCTGTGCTCCTCCTCCTGAAAGTATACTGACACCGCTAAACATGGCAGACTTATGTCATCTCACTATTCTTATAGGCATGCTGTGCAAGTGTCTTCCATACTCAGTACAAAGCCAAGCCTCTCCTGACCGATTGTGGATTCCCGTCCACCCTCTCCTCTCCTTCCATAGTCATTACAAAGCAGCACTCCCTGCTCATCTTTCCTGCCTTTACTGATGGTGAATTCCCCTCCAGTTGCTCCTCCCCTCCTCTTTATGTAATGATGTACATGCCCCCACACTGGACACACCCACCAGCAGGTCTGTGTATAAATCTGGAACCTACAGAAATCATATGACCTGCACTTCAGAAGCCACAGAATGCATTAAAGGCACGTAAGAAAAAAAAAAACCAAAGTCATGATATGCTTACATTTCTCCAAGGAAAAGTGCTATTATGAGTACTTAAGTTCACAACTACTTTAAAATTTACCATCAAATAAAATCAGTCATGAAAAAAAACAAGGTATAATTTTATCTGGATACACTAAGTACTTGCAAAGATATTTACAGATTTACTAATAAAGTAACATTGCAAAGAGAATATAGGTTTGTATGAAAACAGTAGGTAAATTTAAATTATTTATGGTGGGAATTGATGTGAATGGTTTGATATAGACTGGAAAGTGCTGTGTAATATGATGGCTCTATAAATCTGGAAAATCAATGATAATTTAATAGAGCAATAGAGTCGAAAACAATCCCAGTGTTTAACATTGCAAAAATTCCTTTTGTCGAAATAAGATTAAATATACACCTTAGTGTAAATAACAAATAAAGACAGATACAAAAGAAGTTTAGAAACTCAAAGATACATTTTAAATCGATTCATAAAAAAGGAATATTGCTATACTGTGCTTACTATGGGGTTTATTTACTAAAATCCTATGGGATATTCAGTAAGTGAATTTTCACTTACCTTAATAAACGTGGTGAAAATTCACTTTGCAAGAAAAATAAAGAGCTGTTTTTTTTGATTGCGCATGATGGGATGATGGAAGTCAGCAGAGATTTACCTCAATCCCTAAACTCTTGCAAAGTGAAAGTTCACTTGCAAAGTGAACAGCCTATATTTCTTTAGAATATCAATCCCTATTAGTTAAAGCAGAAAGTATTATATGATACATTTTAACCACTTGCCTACTGGACACTTATACCCCCTTCCTGCCCAGGCCAATTTTCATCTTTCAGTGCTCTCACAATTTGAATGACAATTACTCAGTCATGCAACACTGTACCCATACAACATTTTCATCTTTTTTTCACACAAATGGAGTTTTTCTTTTGGTGGTATTTAATCGCCACTGGGTTTTTTTATTTTTTGCACTATAAACAAATAAAGACTAAAAATTGTGAAACTTATTTTTGCAAATAAGTAATTTTTCTTCATAAATTTTGACCAAACTTTATACTGCTACATTTCTTTGGTAAAAATAACACAAATCAGTGCATATTATTTGGTCTGTGTGAAAGCTATAGAGTCTACAAGCTATGGTACCAATCACTGAAAATTGATGACACCTGATCACACCTGATATACCGATGGTCTATCTAATTTCTTGAGGCCCTAACAAGCCAGGACAGTACAAATACCCCGTAAATGACCCCTTTTTGGAAAGTAGACATTCTAAAGTATTTAGAAAGAGGCATGATGAGTTTTTTTAAATTGTAATTTTTTCCCACAATTCTTTGGAAAATTAGGATTTTATTTTTCCCCCATAAAATTGTTTGTTATAGGCGTCATGCCTTCTTGAGCACTTCTGAGGAAGAGATTGCTGTTGGTCTCGAAATGTGTCAAGTGTGATTTATGCATGACTCATTGCTACATTTGCAATATCATCCTTGATGACACCACCGTAATCTGTATTGTAGCTCTATGTTTGCTTTTTAAGATTATAAAAATAAAACTGCATTTTTTTTTTAAATACTTTTTTTAACTATTTAAGTTTATCATATAATAGTATTGTGCTGGTAAAGTCACATCCAAAAAAAAAGAGGACTCCCCTCTTTGTATTCTTCAGGGATGTTGGCACCCTGTGTATTATATCCCTTTCTCCCTTCACAAAAATGTCATATTAACAAGTTATTTCTCACACACAGCACAGGCATACTTGCAACTACACCCCAAAGTACTTTCTGCTACTCCTCCTGAATATAATGATACCAAATGTGTGAGACTTTTCCACAGCCTGACCACATAGAGAGTCCCAACATGCAAGGAGCACCATCAGGTGTTCTAGGGACATAAATTACACATCTAATATCTTGACTACCTATTACACTTTTGAAGACCCTGATGCACCAGAACAATGGAATTATCCACAAAATTACCCCATTTTGAGAAGCAAATACCCCAACATATATTCTGTGAAGCATAATGAGTCTTTTGAACATGTAATTTATCTCCAAACTTATTTGGAATATGTGGGAAGAAAATGAAAATGTATTTTTTTTACACAAAGTTGTCCATCTATAAGATATTTCTAACACATAATATGTAAATAACAAAAAATACACCCAAAAATACATTCTGCTACTCATCCTGAGTATGGCAATACCACATGTATGATACTTTTTTTAACAGCCTAGCCACATACAAAGGCCCAACATCCAGGTAGCATCGTCAGGTGTTCTAGGGACATAAATTACACATCTAATTTCCAGACAACCTATAATTTTTGAAGGCCTTTCATATTTCTAACACATAGCATGTACATACCAAGAATGACACCACCCCAAAATACATTCTGCTGAGAAAATGGTAAGTAAAAGATTACCTGTGGTTTTAGTAGTGCAGTTGTCCACAGAGGAGAGCATTGGTCCAGGCAGCAGGCAGGGAAGTGGTCAGCGACATCAAAAGCAATTGTCCAGGCAGCAGACAGGATTATTGTCCATAGTCAGTACAGGATGCAGGCAGAGATATCGTCAGCACAGCCAAACCATTGGTCCAGGCAGCAGCCAGAGATGTGGTCAGCAGCAGCCAAAGGAAATGTCAAGGCAGAGACCTGGTGGATTTCTTGTAGATCACATACTGTATGCATTATAAATAGCCAAATTGAAAAAAGAAATGAAGACTTTTTTGTACCAATGGTGGGTTCTTCTTACAGCAAGGTAGGGCTGGATCATCTGATCATTGAAGTCAACTCCCCCCATGAACAAATTATAATCATGGACATATTCTGGTTTTTGGATTGTGCCATTTCTTTTGGTGATTTGCACGTGAGTGTCATTATGAATTGATGAGAGCATGTAGATGCCTCGTTTGTCCCTTCACTTCATAGCCAATATCTCTTCATTCCACAAATTCACTAACTCCTCTCGCTCGTCTTGCTGTAGTCTTGTGTTCACCAGCCTTTGCGAGAAGCCCTTCCTACTAGATCTCTCTGTGCCACATGCTAGTGTTCTCCTTCGGTGAAGATTGGGGAAAAGGGGCAAGCTGGTGTAAAAATGATCAACATATGGATTATAACTAGAGATGAGCGAAGTATTCAAAAATTCGATTCGGCTGATTCGGCGAATTCGCGGAATAAATTCGATTCGAGTCGAATATATTCGCTGCAAATTTAACTTATAAAAAGGGTGTTTCTAGGCTTCAGAGAGCCTTTATATTAGTGCAGAACACTGTACCTTTAATTTAAATGCCCTTGGAGTCTGCTGGGGAAGAGAACTAATACTGTCAGTCAGTATGACATGCAGATGAGTGCCGTCGATCTTAGAATCACCGCACACTTCACTCATTTGGGCAGTCACGGGGCCAAAACCAGAGTGTGGAGCCACAGTGTGGCGGTGGAGGCAGCAGCAATGGGAGGCCATACAGCACCCTATGACAAAATGGAACCCACCAGCAGTGTGAGGAGACCTGAAAGTGGCACATGGCAGAGTGTGGCGATGGAGACAGCAGCAATGGGAGGCCGTACAGGGACCCATGAGACACTCTGGACCTGGCAGCAGCATGAGGAGGCGGTACAGGGGCCCATGACAGATTACGGGCCTGGCTGCAGCATGAGGAGTCGGTACGGGGGCCCATGGCAGATTACGGGCCTGGCAGCAGCAATGGGAGGCCCGTAATCTGCCAGCACCCTATGACAAAATGGAACCCACCAGCAGTGTGAGGAGACCTGAAAGTGGCACATGGCAGAGTGTGGCGATGGAGACAGCAGCAATGGGAGGCTGTACAGGGACCCATGACACACTCTGGACCTGGCAGCAGCATGAGGAGGCGGCGGTACAGGGACCCATGACAGATTACGGGCCTGGCAGCAGCAATGGGAGGCCCGTAATCTGCCAGCACCCTATGACAAAATGGAACCCACCAGCAGTGTGAGGAGACCTGAAAGTGGCACATGGCAGAGTGTGGCAATGGAGACAGCAGCAATGGGAGGCCGTACAGGGACCCATGACACACTCTGGACCTGGCAGCAGCATGAGGAGGTGGTACAGGGGCCCATGACAGATTACGGGCCTGGCAGCAGCAATGGGAGGCCCGTAATCTGCCAGCACCCTATGACAAAATGGAACCCACCAGCAGTGTGAAGAGACCTGAAAGTGGCACATGGCAGAGTGTGGCGATGGAGACAGCAGCAATGGGAGGCCGTACAGGGACCCATGAGACACTCTGGACCTGGCAGCAGCATGAGGAGGCGGTACGGGGGCCCATGGCAGATTACGGGCCTGGCAGCAGCAATGGGAGGCCCGTAATCTGCCAGCACCCTATGACAAAATGGAACCCACCAGCAGTGTGAGGAGACCTGAAAGTGGCACATGGCAGAGTGTGGCGATGGAGACAGCAGCAATGGGAAGCCGTACAGGGACCCATGAGACACTCTGGACCTGGCAGCAGCATGAGGAGGCGGTACAGGGACCCATGACAGATTACGGGCCTGGCAGCAGCATGAGGAGTCGGTACGGGGGCCCATGGCAGATTACGGGCCTGGCAGATGACGACGAGGCTGCCAAGTGCGATCAGCCTCATCATCATCAATTAGGGTCTCCGCCTCACTACTAGCCCCCTCGGCTGCATGTGGGTCAGGAGACAGACCTGTCTCTAGACCGGCTACCGAGCCATTCTCCTCGCCAGTACTTCTTCGCCTGGCTGCTGAAGAGGCGGATGTCTCCCCCCGTTCCTAACCGCCCCTGTTAGCTCTTCCTCACTGTACAGTGGGGCTGAGCCCACAGCATGCGATACTTCGCTTGGTGAGGGAACACCAAAGGACAGGGGCAGGTAGAGTACACGTGATTTCAGTGGGCTTGCTCCCGGGCCATGCCAACTAACGGTTGTGTCTGACGTACCCACCGACCGTTGGCTGTAGGTGTCAGAGGTGACCTGGGAAGAGGAAGACGACCGAGCCAACCAATCGATGACGGCAGGGTTGTCGGTGGAGACACGACCGCTGGATGACACCGGGAGCACTGGCCTCTGGCTGCGACTAGTGCTGCCTCGACCCCTTCCTCTGCTGCCACGTCTGCTCGCTCCTGAAAACATTGCCTCCTCTGCCACTCCTCTGCGTGTTGTCTGACATACTCTTTAATTCAACGATTCTGTGTCCCTGAGTAACGATTCTGTGTCCCTGAGTAACGATTCTGTGTCCCTCAGTAACGATTCTGTGTCCCTGAGTAACAATTCTGTGTCCCTGAGTAACAATTCTGTGTCCCTGAGTAACAATTCTGTGTCCCTGAGTAACAATTCTGTGTCCCTGAGTAACAATTCTGTGTCTAGTCCCTGAGTAACAATTCTGTGTCCCTCAGTAACAATTCTGTGTCCCTCAGTAACAATTCTGTGTCCCTGAGTAACAATTCTGTGTGTCCCTCAGTAACAATTCTGTGTCCCTGAGTAACAATTCTGTGTCTGTCCCTGAGTAACAATTCTGTGTCCCTGAGTAACAATTCTGTCTGTCCCTGAGTAACAATTCTGTGTCTGTCCCTGAGTAACAATTCTGTGTGTCCCTGAGTAACAATTCTGTGTCTGTCCCTGAGTAACAATTCTGTGTCTGTCCCTCAGTAACAATTCTGTGTCTGTCCCTCAGTAACAATTCTGTGTCCCTCAGTAACAATTCTGTGTCCCTCAGTAACAATTCTGTGTCCCTGAGTAACAATTCTGTGTCCCTGAGTAACAATTCTGTGTCCCTGAGTAACAATTCTGTGTCTGTCCCTGAGTAACAATTCTGTGTCTGTCCCTGAGTAACAATTCTGTGTCTGTCCCTGAGTAACAATTCTGTGTCTGTCCTCAGTAACAATTCTGTGTCTGTCCCTCAGTAACAATTCTGTGTCCCTCAGTAACAATTCTGTGTCCCTCAGTAACAATTCTGTGTCCCTGAGTAACAATTCTGTGTCCCTGAGTAACAATTCTGTGTCTCTGAGTAACAATTCTGTGTCTGTCCCTGAGTAACAATTCTGTGTCCCTGAGTAACAATTCTGTGTCCCTCAGTAACAATTCTGTGTCCCTCAGTAACAATTCTGTGTCCCTCAGTAACAATTCTGTGTCCCTGAGTAACAATTCTGTGTCCCTGAGTAACAATTCTGTGTCTGTCCCTGAGTAACAATCATGTGTCCCTGAGTAACAATTCTGTGTCTGTCCCTGAGTAACAATTATGTGTCCCTGAGTAACAATTCTGTGTCCCTGAGTAACAATTCTGTGTCCCTGAGTAACAATTCTGTGTCTGTCCCTGAGTAACAATTCTGTGTCCCTCAGTAACAATTCTGTGTCCCTGAGTAACAATTCTGTGTCTGTCCCTGAGTAACAATTCTGTGTCCCTGAGTAACAATTCTGTGTCCCTGAGTAACAATTCTGTGTCTGTCCCTGAGTAACAATTCTGTGTCCCTGAGTAACAATTCTGTGTCCCTGAGTAACAATTCTGTGTCTTTCCCTGAGTAACAATTCTGTGTCCCTGAGTAACAATTCTGTGTCCCTGAGTAACAATTCTGTGTCCCTGAGTAACAATTCTGTGTCTGTCCCTCAGTAAAAAATTCTGTGTCCCTCAGTAACAATTCTGTGTCTGTCCCTGAGTAACAATTCTGTGTCCCTGAGTAACAATTCTGTGTCCCTGAGTAACAATTCTGTGTCTGTCCCTGAGTAACAATTCTGTGTCCCTCAGTAACAATTCTGTGTCCCTCAGTAACAATTCTGTGTCCCTCAGTAACAATTCTGTGTCTGTCCCTGAGTAACAATTCTGTGTCCCTGAGTAACAATTCTGTGTCCCTCAGTAACAATTCTGTGTCCCTCAGTAACAACTCTGTGTCCCTCAGTAACAACTCTGTGTCTGTCCCTAAGTAACAATTCTGTGTCCCTGAGTAACAATTCTGTGTCCCTAAGTAACGATTCTGTGGCCCTAAAGTCTCTCTGGCCCTAACTCTGTCCCTAATACAGACAGGTCTGTCTCTCTTGAATGACCGGAGGCTAATGGAGAATTGTAAGATGGCCGCAATTTATAGCTCCACCATTACACAGTGCTGGCTGGCTGGCTGCTGATTGGCTAATGCGATCACATGTCATGAATGAATGCATTATGGGTCAGCGTGCCTTGTCTGCACGCCTTCCCAGAGATCCCCGCTCTGTCGCCACACATGTCGCCGCCATATTTTGGGAAAATTCGATTCGTGCATCCGAAGTTGGCTAATTTTCGGATTCGGCGCGAATCGAATATTTCCCAATATTCAAAACGAATTCCACTTCGCCATGTTCAATGACCCCT